CGGGGTCTACACAGATACTGTACATGGGTAGGGTGAGGTCTAGGGATCAAACCCTGGGTACTGCATCCGCTACTGCTAAAAGGTGAAAACCGTTTCACCTGTGTGCAGGAGGATTTACCACTGCTCACCCCTGTTCCTTTGTTTTTTGTCTTCTTTTTTTTTGTTGAGAAAACTATGCTATATTCTTCTCGCGATTCTTTTTACCTCGTACTTGCTAACTATGTGAGGCTGGATATCAGATGGGTTGGGCCTAACCCCAGACGAGGGATGGAAGGAACAAGGGAATAGCCCTCACTCCTGTTCCTATTTTTACTTTGGTCCTACAATCCTACTTCTACTCCTGCAGAACAGATGCATTGATTGCCCCCCTTCTTTGGAGGATTTACATCTCCCTGGGCCTAGTTTACTTGTTCTTCTACCCTCCCTATGCAACTGTTTTTTTTTGTTTTTTTTTTCCCACTGGACAGTGGATACACCAAATTCTCAGAGATTGAGCCTGATGCTTTTTTTTTTTTTTTCCCCAACTGGATACAGTGATACACCCTATTCTCAGAGGTTAAGCCTGATGCTGAAGTCAAAGATTGGCCCAGAACCTAAGGCAGTTGTCATGTAACACCACCAGATCCTCACTGCTCTTCACCTTGCTCTTAAGAAAGGCTGCCTTATCTATCGGTAGCGGTAGGCTTGGATGGCCGCTGGTCGGCCGCTGGTCGGCCGCTGGTCGGCCGCTGGTCGACAAGCCTGATGAAGAAAGAAAGCGACCTCTGTGGCTGGCCTCCAGCTATTCCCATCTGTGGTCGGTGCACCCTCATTTATTCATGCCTATTCGATAGCTATGTGAACGATAGTTACGATACGTAATTGTTTTAATTTTTTTTCGTATCGGAAGAGTAGGTGTTGATCTTCTATCTGGATGGATAGATAAATGTTTGGATTTTTGCGAATATTTTTTTCTTGCCTAAAGTAAGGGGCAGCTAATTGCCACGAACATGAAGGGGTGAGACTGGAGAAAATGATTACGAAAAAAAAATTGCCCTGTTTATGCACTGCACCTGGTCGAGATACTATGAGATAGTAGATGAACATACTATTTCCGAGCTGCAAAACTCACCATGTGTTGGTGTTGTGGAAAGGGGCGACAGCCTTAAAGCACCAGTACACCACACATCGGCCTGGGGTGTCAGCGCGAAACCCGCACCACTTCGGAGGCTGCCAATTTCTTTTTCAACGGCGCCCCAGGCCGCACGGCTCCTCCGAGTTTTGCTTGTGGTGACAAAAACTTTCTGCAAGGCTGGGGCCGTGTACTTGCGTTTACGATATCATCTTTGAACTGACCCCCGCCAGGTAAATGCAATTCGAAAGGGACTACAAGCTTTGCTTCAATAACTGGACATAAGTGGACCCGTCAATCCCACTGTGTCACCCATCCGACTTTCCTGACCCATTCCCCCCGCCTCCCCTGTCACTTGTTGATAGGCAGTGGTTCGGGCTCGACTGAGTGGATGGGGGTTAGGAAATCGGGGGGCAGCAGTAGTAACAGCAAAGCAAGCACAGAATCTGTGATTCTGGGTCATGCGGAGGTGTGATTCTGCGAAGACGACGTCAAGCATTTTCACTACTACCTGCTCAGTCAATCCCCGCATAAGAAAGGGTATTCAATGCTGGCAGGATGGCACAGTAGGCCCAGTGCTTTGATGTTCCTGTTTGAAATGGGATGCTGGGCCCACCGGTTCCCAGCACGTGCTGCTCCCCATGAATAGATCGGGGCTGTTTCCATTTCAAAAACAAAAACAAAAAAAAGAAAAAACGCCAGGTAAATGCAGAGATAATTTACTATTATTTTAGTAGTTTTTTTACTCATCTATGGATTCCAGCTGAGTTCGAACTCAGGTCTGTTTTTCAACAGTTGATAGGTGTGCCAACTGAGCTAGGGCAGTCGGTGCGCTGCAGTGGCATTGAGAGTGAGAATTTGAGAAAGACATGCGTTTTGGATTGTTTGTCGTTTTTCCTTCTTGCTGCTCGTCTTTTTTGAAGATGGATTTGCTGCAGGGTTTGCAATAGGGGAAGCTCCTATGCATGCCAGGCCGATGAGTTCATCCACTGGCACAGAAGGACAAAGAGCACTGCAGCAGCTGTCATTGGCACTGAAGGACAAAGCCACAGGGTCTCCGGAATGGCATAAACGTCAAGATCCTAAGTTTGCCTCAGCATCCTCAAATTCGTCCTCCCAATCGACTTCTCGATCCAAAGCATTTTGCACTACCCTCGACTCCCGTGGCAAACAGACATCCGACGCCTTCAGCATCGACTCAAAAGCAACCAGGAGTGCTGCATTTGAGGAATTCAAAATAGGTACGTAAATCTTACTGCTAAGCTTGTACAAGAAGAAGAAGAAGAAGAAGAAGAAGAAGAAGATGGTGGTGGTGGTGGTTATGGTGGTTTAGGGTAACAAGTAAAACTGGGGTGCTGACCTCCGCAACGGATGAAGAAATCATTTGTGAGATAGGCTGCGGAACCAGCTTAGATGAGCTGCCTGAGCAGATGGGCCTAGGCCAGGCAGTAGGCAGGGGGAGGGAGGAGGGAAGAGGGAGGAGGGAAGATGGCTGGCCAGAGGCCTAGTTTGCACCGGTCAAAATGGAGCAGGAACTGAAAGGGGAAAAAAAATTAAAAAAAACTTGAAGTCCTGCCCAAGTCTGCACTTGACATTGTGGCCAATCTAGCCTTGTCTTCCAATCTAGCGATCACTCACACCAGGTGTTTGGACTCTGGAGGGCTCACACAACTTCACAGGGGTGTATCTTGACTTCCCTTCTCTGCCCATTTTAGAGCGTCACTTTCTTTTTTCCTGATGGACCACGGATCAGATATTAAAGTGATCAGAACCGATTGTCAGATATCACACTCGATCTATTTTTAGCCAAAAGGCCGAGAACATTGAAGCTTCAACTTGGTCCAAGTTAGGAAGGAATTGCTTTGTACCGATGGGCCTAGCTAAGTTGGTACACCTATGAACTGCTGAAATGCAGACGTGAGCTCGAATCCAGATGATGGAACTGGTTGAGTGAATTCCTGAAGTACTTAATAAAAAATAAAAATAAAAAAGAAGGAAGGAATTGTTTTTTTCTTTTGTTGCAAAAATGTGGCTTTTATTACGACTGAAAATCAGGTTCAGCTGGAACTTCAGGATCGCTTACATAGTTTACTCACTCAACGCCTTCCTTCGTTATGGCCAAGGAATCAGGTAGCGGCATTGATAGCTCCCTCCTGGGAGAATTTACCACTGGTCACCCCTGTCGCGACCCCTGTGAGAGCCCTCAGCCAAGAGTATTCTTTGTTGCGATTCTACACCACCTATTTTTCCCCATGGACAAACATGAGCTTATGTCTCGGCTCCCTATTCTATTCTTTGAAGTGTCATCCGGGCTTCTCTTTTATTTTTCCCAGCCAAGTTCATTTCCCACCAGTGAGTCAGTTCTTTACTTACAATCTAGGCTGTTTTCTGGGCCACCCGGGCACCCAACTTGTGCCTGGATACACGCCCGGGTGCCCAGCCGGGCATGACCCCTGGGCATGCTCCAGGGCAGCCCCAGCACGATCAAATAAACAAAAAAAAAAAAAAAAAAAAAARRATTTGAAAACWAGGGARATATCCCAGGCSCCCGGGYCCCGAKGTCACGCCCGGATTGGSGMCCGGGKGGCCGGCCGGGCATGGCCCCGGGCARCCYCAGCGAAAAAAAAAAAAAAAAAAAAAAAAAAAATCAAATCCAAAAAAATCTGAAAAAAAAAAAATGTTGTGTAGAATTGCAATACAAACAACTTTTGGCTGAGGGTCACATCAGAATTCCTCACAGAACTAAAGATAAAAAAGAAAATAACCATATCACACTAAGGCAGCCCCCTTTAAACCCCTTTAGCCCCTTTAAAATTCATTTACACTCCCCTTTCCCCCCTTTGACAGCCAACACTCGAAAAAAGAAAAGAGCCCGGATTTGGGCTCCTCTCGGAGAGCGCGGAAAGACCCCACCGCCAATTTTTCTTTTTTTTTTTTTCTTTTTTTTTTGCCATGACCGGGTGACGCCCGGGTGACCGGCCGGTCCAGACCGGCCGGTCATGAAAATCTTCCTAGGTTGAAAATCCAAAAAAGTCCGGAAAAAAATATGTTGTGTACAATTGCAGTACAATGTATTACAGACAACTTTTGGCGGAGGATCATGGAATTCCTCACGGAACTCTTGTGTCAAGGGACGCTGTAGAGGGATGCCGTGCCTGTTTCCCTGACTGTACAATAAACAATGGATCACGTATAGGAGAACAGTATATGCTAGCTAGGCCGTTTGGTTGCTGTTTGCTGTTTGCTTGTTGTTTGCTCCCACGGGAACTGGTGTATGCTACATAGACAGATTGTATGCTGCTCGTTGCTGTATGCTTGCACGGGGACCTCTTCCAGGGTGGGCTTGTACTTTGCTGATAATGGAAAATCAATGTGCTGAAAACTCTGGGGTAGTGTAGTGGGCCTGGGGGAGATCATAAATAGAAATAGGAGAATAGTGTACGCTATATTGGCTGTTTTGTCTGCACTGGGACTTCTGTTTTCAGGGGTGATGCAATTGGTGGGCCCTCTGACCAATTGCAGGCCGGTGAGGCCTAGTCCAGGGGTTCCTGCCTGCCTTTGTGAGGGATGTCGGGCCCGGTTCTCGGCTGTGTAAAAAAAAGAGAGATTTGTCGTGAAAAAATTCAAAAAAATGAAAAAAAAAAAAAGAATTCCTCACGGAACAGAAGATAAAAAAGAAAATAACCGAATCACACTAAGGCACCTCCCTTTAAACCCCTGTAGCCCCTTAAAAACCAATTTATACCCCCCTTCCCCCCCCTTGACAGCCTGCACTCAAAAAACGAAAATAGCCCGGATTTGGGCTCCTCTCGGATAGTGCGGAACGATATATATATTTCAGCCTCCTGATGAGACGGTGAAACTCCGACAAAACAGTTTGCCACAGCCCCTCGTTTGATGACACACAGGGGTGGGGCCAGCCGCCGCTCAACCTACATCCACGTGGGCGGCCTTGTACGCAAGACGTTCTGAACAGGGGGAGTTGTAAGGAAGAAGATAAAAAAACGAATTCATTTTTTTCCTTGTTTTCTTTCTGTTTCTTTTTTTTCGCTTTTGCGCTCTGATATTCTTGTGACAATATATAGTTCTGTTTGTGACGATATATATATCCTACACATGTCACCCGTCTCTCTCAGTGGTTCCGACGCATGCTGCGATGGTCCTTGCATCACCCACTTTCTTCTTTATCCCCACATCGCGCTCGTCCTGTCACTGCTTGTTCATCTGCTGCTAATGCAGTTCCCACTGTTGCGGTTCCCACCGCCGCCGCTTCCACCGCTGTGGTCTCCACTGCTGCAGTTTCTACTGCTGCTGTTTCAACTCCGGGTTTCACTCCAGCAGTTTCTGCTACGGAAGTTGCCTCCGCTGCTCGTCCTGTCACTGCTTGTTCATCTGCTGCTAATGCAGTTCCCACTGTTGCGGTTCCCACCGCCGCCACTTTCCACCGCTGTGGTCGCTGTGGTCTCCACTGCTGCTAATGCAGTTCCCACCGCCGCCACTTTCCACCGCTGTGGTCCCACTGCTGCAGTTTCTACTGCTGCTGCCGTTGTGGTCTCCACTGCTGCAGTTTCTACTGCTGCTGTTTCAACTCCGGGTTTCACTCCAGCAGTTTCTGCTACGGAAGTTGCCTCCGCTGCGGTCCCCGCTACGGAAGTTGCCTCTGCTGCGGTTCCTACTACAACACTTGTCTCTGCTGCGGTTCCACTTTTTACCACTTCCTCTGCTTTTGTA